CACACCGTCCAATACCAAACTTGGATGCCTGGGAGAAATCGAAGCTCACAGAAGATCTTTTGGAACCGAGGGTGGAGGGAAGGACCAGTAGGGTCCTACTTATATCAATGTCTAGAGCCTAGATTTTGTTTGGGCTAGGATAGAAGCAGGTGATGTATGTCTCCCCAAAGGTAGCTAAGGCTCCGAGGGAGAAACAGTGGGGGTTTGGGGGGCAAGACCAGATTGGGTGAGTGGACAGGCAAGTCCCCAAGCTATAGCCTAAATTAACAGCAGAGGGCCCATTAGGCCTTACACACCCATCACTGCAGCTGGAGGCTGCTCAGGGGCTGCTGGTGGAAGCCATCACCGCAGGAATCTTGGGTGACCTGGGCTCCGGGGGCAATGTGGACGCATGTGTGATCATGAAGTCAGGCGCCAAGCTACTGAGGACACTGAGCTCGCCCACAGAACCCGTGAAAAGGTGAGAGCTGGAGATGGGGGACCACAGGAATGTGTGGAGCCATAGCAGAAGAGATGGGGGCTGCAAGAAGGGGATGGGCCACATGACAGGCTCATGTTCAGAAGCTGTCCCTCCTCCCTCCCAGGTCTGGTCACTACCACTTTGTGCCTGGAACCACAGCTGTCCTGACCCAGACAGTAAAGCCACTAACTCTGGAGCTAGTGGAGGAAACCGTGCAGGCTATGGAGGTGGAGTAAAATAGGCTTGAGGCTTAGAGCTTGGAACAAGGGGAAATAAACCCAGAAAATACAAACAGCTAAACAAATGACTGTGTCATTCTTGAGTGGAGTGGGTGGGCGGGCAGGCAGCCAGCAGGGCTCTGTAGCTAAGGCGTCCCCGCAGGGCCACTACCTCCCAGAGCTCCAGTGCCTGGCCTATGAGATGCCCTTCACCCATCACCTCAGGTGTCTACTACTCCAGAACCCCAGCCCTTGCCAGCATTGCAGGCTTGGATGAAACGCCCCCATCCTGTCTCCACCTGAACCTTCCTTCTGGCTCCCCTGCCAACTGCACTGCCTTGCTCTTGCCCTCTGGTCCACTGGAGATTTGTAAAACCTGAAAGACCCCATGTACTACCACCTCCTAGAGACTTTCCATGGCTCCTAAGTGGCCCAGGACAAAGTCCATACCTTTCAGTCAGGCCCCCACAGGCTCCACTGGGGCTAAAATGCTAACAGAGGAGCTGTTCCCTGACTGCAATGCAAGGTCTCACCAAGCACTCCTCAACCTTGCAACATTCCTTACCCGTGACACCACTCAGAAGATGAAGCATGCCTGCACTGCTCACAGAAGCTTGGCTTCTGTCTGCACATGCTGGGCTTGTTTGACTCCAAGTTTTCCAGGCCAATAGGGGCCACAGGACTCACATGGGGAGATGACATGTTTCTCAAATAAACCTTTGCTAGGCCCCCGCTGAGTCTCAGGCCTGGCTGCTGGGTGCCAGCAAGAGCATCCTGCCTTCAGCGAGAACGGCTTAACTCCACTGGAGCTTCAGAACTGTCAAGGAGAGTATGTGCAGCCTCCAGGGAGGGTCTATGCCAGGCTGGACATCCTTGGGCCGCTGACTATGCTCCCTGCACCGCAACATTCTATTACATATATTTGTAAATGTAACTGAGAAGTTGATAAGAGTTGTATATTGAATACCCATATACTGTCAGGTCACCACAGACCTGACAATTAGTATTTTGTTATATTTGCTGGCTGGGCGTGGTAGCTCATGCCTGTAATCCCAGCACTTTGGGAGACCAAGGCAGGTGGATCATGAGGTCAGGAGTTCAAGACCAGCCTGATCAATATGGTAAAACCCCATCTCTACTAAAAATACAAAAATTAGCCAGGCGTGGTGGCACGCACCTGTAGTCCCAGCTACTCAGGAGGCTGAGGCAGGAGAATCACTTGAACCCGGGAGGCAGAGGTTGCAGCAACCTGTTATCGTGACACTGCAGTCCAGCCTGGGTGACAGAGTGAGACTCCTTCCCAAAAAAAAAAAAAAAACCCTCACACTCCCAGGAGGCCAGCCAACACACCTGTTGGAACTTTGCACACAGGGTATCTTCTCTCTTCAAGCTTGAACTGCAGCTCAGTAACAAATGGGCTACAGACACCAGGGGCTTGCCCATGGAAGCCCCAAGGCCTAGAGAGACTGCCAGAGATTTGATGGCTGTCACTCTCCACTGCAGCCTCAGTCCAGGGTCTGCCAGGCACCAAGAGCTCACACTTTGCCCTTCTAAGTGCCAGGCCCCTCACAAGCATCATCTCATTGTTTAGAGTGGGGGCTTCAGCACCAGACAAATGCAGGTTTGTATCCAACTCAACCACATGCTGGTGAGAGAGTCACCATCTCTGAGCAGACCTGTGACTCCTGTTCCAAATGGATGTGGAACCATGATGTGTTACGACTCGCAACCTGCCATAACCTCATGGCCCTGGCCTTCACAGCAAAGTCCACTAGAATAAGCATTCCCTCACCAGTCAGAACATCCTGGACGCTGAGCAGCCTTTTCTGAGAGCCTGGTGCTTTTGATAGCCCTGGGAGACTCCTCTAATCCCAGCCACCAGGTTGTCACTATAGAACTAATTAAATCATCTGTCCTTGTATCCACAGCTCAACATTAGAATGGGAGATGGTTCAGGGAGCCAATTAGAGGCCAGGCATTGGGAGGTGGTAGAGGTGAGAGCCTCACACCTGGGCTCTTGTCTGATAAGTCCAGGCCTGAGTTAGAGGACCTTGGCCTAAAGAGCCTGTCTTGACTGGATCATGAGAGGGGACTGAGTCTACACAGCTGGCCTGGCCTCAGGCCTGGAGCTTTAGCTCAAGGACAAGAACACCCATAAAGCCAGGCCTAGCTCCCAACCTCACATCTGCCACGATGTTGCTGTTCAGCCTGACTCTGAGCCTGGTTCTCCTCAGCTCCTCCTGGGGTAAGTGAGCCAGGACCAGCCCTAACTCAGCCCTGGGGGCAACTCAGCTCCCAGCACCAGCCCAGGCAAGGGGCCAGACTGGCTGGAAGGGATGCAGGTGGACAGAGTGGGCAAAGGAAACAGGATGTGCCAGTGCAGGGGAGCATGAACAGGCCTGCAGGAATGGGAGGGGGCAAGAGTGGGGTGGGGCATGGTTTAGGAAGCTGAGACAGGAAGACCTGTCCATGTCTTTTAGAAAGAACCCTCTGGCTGGATGAATGGTATGAACTGTTCAGGTCTGGAGAGGTCAAAGAGACCAGGGGTAGAGACGGGAAACAATGGGACTAGGCTGGAGCAAGAGGGGGGAGAACGGCAGGACTGGGGGACTGGTTGGATGGGGAAAACCAAGATAGCTGTGGGGCCCGAAGGTACTTGCATGTACTCTGTTGGGGAAGGGGTAGTGCTGTACCCTCTCTACAGACCTCTCCAGGGTGCACAGCCCGGGGCACCCAGGAGAAGGAGGTGGGAAAAGGCAGGCTGAGGCCTGGGAAGCAGGTCCTCACCAGCCCAATGGTCAGGCTGCGGTGTTCCTGCCATCAAACCGGCACTGAGCTTCAGCCAGAGGATTGTCAACGGGGAGAATGCAGTGCCGGGCTCCTGGCCCTGGCAGGTGTCCCTGCAGGTACACCACTGGAGGGGTGGGCAGGGTCCTGGGTATGTCATGCCTAGCGGCAGCCTGAACAACCCATCCCCACTCTAATCTCTGAGCCCTGACCCCAGGACAGCAGCGGCTTCCACTTCTGTGGTGGTTCTCTCATCAGCCAGTCCTGGGTGGTCACTGCTGCCCACTGCAATGTCAGGTGAGCGCCCTCACTCCACCTGCCCCACGCCTCACCTCTTCCTGCCTCCTCCCCTGGCTGTCCCCCTCCAGTTCTGCCCTCCCTGCAGCTGCCTAACCCCACCTCCCTGCAGACCTGGCCGTCACTTTGTTGTCCTGGGCGAGTATGACCAATCATCCAATGCAGAGCCCCTGCAGGTTCTGTCCATCTCTCGGGTGAGTGCCTGGGCTGCAGACATGGAAGAAGAGTAGGCGGTGCAGGTGGGTGGGTGCTGGGAACAAGGAATTCAGGACATGCCCTGGCCTACCCCACGCAGCACCCATCAGCCCCAGCTGCCGGGACCCACCCCAGCCCAACATGGCCTGCTTCTGGCCCCACAGGCCATTACACACCCTAGCTGGAACCCCACTACCATGAACAATGACGTGACGCTGCTGAAGCTCGCCTCACCAGCCCAGTACACAACACGCATCTCACCAGTTTGCCTGGCATCCTCGAACGAGGCTCTCACTGAAGGCCTCACGTGTGTCACCACCGGCTGGGGTCGCCTCAGTGGTGTGGGTAAGAACTCAGGTCAAAGCTCAGGGCAGGAGGACTGAGGTGAGGACTAGTGTTCTGGGCCCAGCCTGACCACCCCTCCTGCCCCACAGGCAATGTGACACCAGCACGTCTGCAGCAGGTGGCTTTGCCCCTGGTCACTGTGAATCAGTGCCAGCAATACTGGGGTTCAAGTATCACTGACTCTATGATCTGCGCAGGTGGCGCAGGTGCCTCCTCGTGCCAGGTGAGCCACGGCACCCCATCCCCTGGCACACCTCCCAACCCCCCACACTCACTTCTCCCACCCTCTTCCTTCTCAGGGTGACTCTGGAGGCCCTCTTGTCTGCCAGAAGGGAAACGCGTGGGTGCTTATTGGTATTGTCTCCTGGGGCACCAAAGACTGCAATGTGCGTGCACCTGCTATGTACACCCGAGTTAGCAAGTTCAGCGCCTGGATCAACCAGGTCATAGCCTACAACTGAGCCCACCACGGGCCCCTCCGCAGCTCAACCCATTAAAGACTCAGGCACTGTCCCATCATGCATTCTTGTCTGTCTTTCTGGCTCAGGATAAAGGAGAGGCTGTTGAGGGTCGGACTCCCTACCTGGACTTCTGACATGGAAGGGGCTGAGTGACTCCTTGAATAGTAGTGGTTCTTCCTAGAGTAGCCATGCCCTCCTCCAGGGCAACCCCTTGGTTCTACAGCAAGAAGCCAGAGCTGTTGGAATGAATGGCAGCCCTCCCTGGAGAGGCAGCCTGTTTACTGAATACAGAGGATACATTTACAAACTGAATACACGTAATAAATAACTGCACATTCTCCATCCACAGTCCATGGCATGAAAGCCCAGGTGGGTCTGTCAAAGGCCCACATCTCCAAACCCCTGATCCTGCCCTCAGGACCAGGCCTATCCTGGGCAAGAGAAAACATAATCCCCAAGGCTTTAAGCCCCCAGAGACACTTGGGGAACTGGGAGGAAATTCTGAGGCCATGGGGCTTGGCTTTCCATTGCCTCCTGTCCAGGGGGCAGTGGGGATGACAGGAGGGGGTGTCTAAGGCACAGTGGACTTGGTACAGAGTGGTCGCTTTAGTTTTGTTTCCCACTGGAGGTGGCACATGCAGGAAGAGGAGGGCCTGGCCCAGGCTGCTGACTGGTAGAAGCTGAGTGACAGCCAAACCATTCCCCACTGGCAGGGGCCCTGCATTTAAGCTAAGGCCAAAGCTGAGCCCTGGCCCCATTCTACCCACTGAAGGCAGCTGTGGAAGGAGGGGCTCAGGTTCCAGCCTGGTTTGTGGTAGGGGGAGATACCACAACAGCCATGGGGACAGTTCTGGCTCAGGCCTCTAGGAAAGCAGCCACCCAACCCTACCTACCTCCCACAGGGGCTCTTTCCAGCCTGAGACTCAGCGGGACCCAGACTGGAAGGTTAATGCTGTGAAGGGAAGCAGCACAGGGTGAACAGGACAAGGCCAGGTGTGAGAAGGCAGTGCCCCAGGCACCCAGCGTTCAGAGGCAGGTCACACAGTATTGCTAAGTTCCAGGGAGGGGTGCGCAGAAGCTCAGCAGAAGGGGAGAGGTGAGTAGCCCAAGACCCTCCCCCAGTGCAGCAACTCCTTCCTTCCCATGTCCTCTCGGACGACTACATGTGTGCACGATGGGAGTGCAATGATCACTCCCTGCAGACACCAGATGGCGTATTCATGCAGCTGCAGAGGAGGGAGCGGCAAAGCCTGAAGGGAAGGGGCAATGGGCTGCACCAAAAGATAGAACCTGGGCTGACACTGGACCCTAATGTGAAGGAGCCCCCTGCCCTCTGCCTTGGCCCCCAGGTGCCCCATCCCCCAGGTAGCAGCAGTGGGGCTCCCTTTAACCACCCCCAGTTGGGAAGGAGGCACCTGGGGAATGGAATGGGCATCCAAGGGGGAGAGGGAGGTAGTGGTGGGCTCTACAAAGAAGGCACCAAGGGTGGTGGGCTGGTGGGCAGAGACCCCCTCAGAGTCTGGAGAGGCTGGAGCCTGGGCAAGCCGACCACCAGCATGGCCACACAGTCCAGAAGGGTGAAGGTCCACTCCATGGCCCCACTACCAGAGGTCCTGGCAGGTCCTGGAACCAGGAGGGCTCCCTGGGGGCACCATGAAGGAAGACAGATCTTGGCTGGGAGGTGGAGGGCTATTTGGATCTAGCTGAGGGCTACCAGTCCAGACAGGGCACAAGCTTTGTGCCTACCTGGATCTCCCATTGGAGCATAATCTTAAGGATCAGGATGTGTGGGAATGTGTGGAGCCAGGGAGGGCTCTGTGAAGGAAAGGGGGTCCCAGAAGCAACTGTCCTAAAGGGTCCTGAGGCCACAGGACACCCTCCACCTTGCACTGCAGGCCCCCTTTGATTTGAGAAGAGCCAAAGGGCAAAGAAGACAGTGAAGGCCAGGTCCTATCCCTTCAAAACTCCAGAGCAGCTGCCCAAGAGGGGTATCAGTGCCAGGCGAGGCTCCGAGTTCAGGGTGGGTCACAGCCCCCTGGGCTACCTCCACTCTCTCACATCTGGCCTAGGCCCATGGTGAGGACAGGGGCTGCTGAAGGCACAGGGAAGGGGCTGGCGCCAGACATTCTTCACCTACTGCGGGTCACACAGGCCTATCGCCAGAAAGGACATCGGAGCCAGAGCGCATCACAGTGTGTGGCCAGGCTGGGCCGTGCCGCACATGCGCACAGCCAGGCAGCTCAGCCATTGTACTGCTGCTGGTAGCGCAGGTTAAGCTCCCGCAGCTCCCGCTCCCGCACACGGCGTGACTTGTTGGAGCGTGTTGAGCGGCTGGAACGTGTAGACTGGGCAGATTTGGTGCTCTGGCAGCGCGAGGAGGCACGTTTGAGGAGGTTCTGGGATATGGAGCGGTGCAGGTTCTTCATGGATGAAGAGGCGGCCATGCTTACCACCCACGGGTGCCTCAGGGCCTGCAGTGCAGTCATACGGGCTCCAGGGTCCACTGTCAGCAGGCGGTCAATGAAGTCCTTGGCCAGGTTGGACACACTAGGCCAGGGCTAGAGACCAAGGACAAGCATTAGAGCAAGAACACCCAACACTGCCCACCCCATCTGGATGAGCCACTACCCAGCATCCCTGTACTTTCCCGAGAGGCGCTGCCCCTCCTCTCATGTAGCGCTTGGGGCCTCCCCACCCAGTGCTGGCCTAGGCTGAACAGGGACTGCTCTCGGGGTGATGAGGAGTCTGGCAAGGAAGGAAAGGACCTGTCCACTCTCCCAAGGAGCAAACATTTTTTTTTTTTTTGAGATGTAGTCTCGCTCTGTCACCCAGGCTGGAGTGCAGTGGCTCAATCTTGGCTCACTGCAACCTTTGCCTCCCGGGTTCAAGTGATTCTCCTGCCTCAGTCTCTTGAGTAGCTGGGATTATAGGCATGTGCCACCATGCCCAGCTAATTTTTGTATTTTTAGTAGAGATGGGGTTCCATCATGTTGATCAGGCTGGTCTTGAACTCCAGACCTCGTGATCTGCCCACCTTAGCCTCCCTAAGTGCTGGGATTACAGGCGCGAGCCACCACACCCGGCCCCGGGAGCAAACTTCTATGGTGCACTGGACCCAAAGCCTGGCTCAGGGAGATGGCCTCTGCTAGGATTCCCCAACCTACCCCAGGAGAATTATAACTCAGGGGAATGTAAGAGAATGACTCAAACTTTCCCACCACATCCTAAGTCAGACTGACGCTCCAATCCCTGGATGACGAGGATCAGGCCACTTAGAGGGGAACTTCCTAGTCCTTACAGTGGTGGGAGACCACTGCTCCCTGACTCCACCTCCCAGCATGGGGAGTAAAGGAAATAATTCAAGGCAACTAGATTTCCCAGTCTGCTGAGGGCAGGGACTTCCGGGGGCCAGGCAGGAACCAGGACCCTTCTCAATGGCACCCTGCAGTGCACATGACTTCTTTAAGCCACAAAGGAACTCCATAAAGCCCGCTCTGCCACATGCACCTAGGGCTGCCTCGTCTTAGCCCCACACCCAGCAGCTGTCTGTCTCCGGGCCTCAGGCTCATGGCTGTATTCACCTGGCTGGATCCTCTGGTTCTCAGGGTAAAGGACACTTGCTTAGACTCCCTCTTAGTCCCCAGTGCTTCCAGCAATTATTCCAGCTGTAACTTGAAGACTGCAGTTTCGTGTTCATTGATTATTCCCATGAGATCATGCTGAGCTGGATGAGCCCCAGTGCCTGGTGCTGCGCATACAGGAAGCGCTCAGTAGGCACAGGTGAGTAACAACCTACGATGCTGCTGTCAGATGGGTACCCTTTCCTGGAGCTGCTTCCAGGCCATGGGGCTCAGTCAGATGAGTCCTTGCGTCCTCCATCTCCTAGGAGTACTTTTAGCATGGGTTCTGACGCTCCCCCAAGGGTAGGTGGCTAGGACCTTTCCTGAGCCTGCTGCAGATGGCTCAACAGGGATGCTAAGAACACCATCACTTTCCTTCCTGCCAGCTGAGGTCTGCCTGTTTCACCCATGGTACCCTTCAACCTAAGGAACTGCTGAACATGCCCTCCAGGGGGCTTAGGAGGATCTGAGAGTCTTCCTTCAGGGCAGGTGCACAGCCATCTAGCAGACATGCATACTCACTGACTAATGCTACCCCTAGTCTGGCTCCCTTGACCTTCAACTTTTCCCCTACCCAGGGGGAGTCAGTAAAGGGGTGCGGCAGGGAGAACACGCTTCTGAGGAAGGGCTGGGGCTACCTGTAGCTGCTGTCCTCACCCACTCTTTGGAAGGTTATTTCAAGTTTTACTGAGCTGAAATGGGAGCAACAGCGGAACCACATTTCCAAACACACCTAACAGGCTCATCCTCACCAGTGGGCCAGCAGCACCCAGTGACTCCTGGGGAGATGCTGGCCCTCAGGAGGAAACTCAGGGCCCAGTAGCATGCAGCCAATGGAGGCCCATAGATACCTTACTATCCAAGGGCTGTGTGTGGGTGCAGACAGCAACAGCCCTCCCATGCAGGCAGGTAAGTCCCCTGGGGGCTTGTGTTGTTCACGGTTTATACTGAAGTATTGAGGCCAATATGCAGGACTAGACAGCTGCCACAAGAGCTTTTGGATCACAGCCCAAAAAAGCCCCAAAACCCACGCGCAGTAGCTTCTGCCTGTAATCCCAACACTTTGGGAGTCTGAGGCAAGAGGACTGCTTGGGCCCAGGAGTTCAAGATCAGCCTGGGCAAGATAGTAAGACTCTGTCTCAAAGAAAAAAAACACATTAAAAAAATTTTTTTTTAAAAACTCCATGGCTGCCCCCTGAACATGAGGAACCACTATTGGGGGCAGCCAGTCCAGAACACAGACATTCACTGTAGCTCCCATCACCCACTGGAGAGACAGAAAGCAGCTTAATGGAGACAGCACATACCCAGCTGAACAGAGTGGGTCAGGGGACACCTGTGCTGCCTGCTGGCTTTCTACAGTCTCCAGGAAAAGGAGAACTCACTAGGGAACATGCTGCAGCTCAGCCTGGCCTGTTGATGGAACAGCCCCAAGACAGGACTGGCAACCCAGGCTGTCCCAACAGGGCTGAGACATGGATTCTGCCCCTGCCCCTTGGTCCAGCCAAGACAAAAGTGGGGCAGCTCCCCTACAGAGGCTAGGAGCCTGAACATGGATGGAATGGAGTCTTCCCCACCTCACATCCACACCCAGCCAAACTATGGACCCAAAACTCCAAACCAAGACTACCAATGCAGTCTTGGAGAGGCCTCTCCCCAGACCAGCCCTATGGGCTTAAGTGTCTCCATCTTCAGAGTGGCACAGACTCACACCAGGCATCAACCCCTGCTGCTCATGGAGCGGCCGGCCCGTTAGTGCCAAAGCGAGCCAGATCGATCCCTCTCCCCCTGCTCCCCAAGATTCTCGCCTCACCAATTATTGTGGATGTGTGGCTGTGTGCAGAATGCAGACAGACTCATTTGTCTGAGGGCTGGCCTGGCCTCTCTGGCAGGTTACAGCTCTCCCCATCTTTGAAGAGCTGTGAGCAGCTGGGCCAGGTGGGTCCTCCAAGCTAATGTGACTCAGGTCGTCCTGACCTGAGAACCAGGCTGTGCCAATGGCCCCCAGCCTAACCCTTGTACACAGAGGAAACTACAGAAGAAAGTCAGGCTGAACACAAGGTAGTCTTCATCCAGCTCACTGTGAGGCAGGGTCTTAGGGTAACCTCCAGAATAACAGGCCTCAGTCTGGGAGCCCTGCTGAGGCCTCCCACAGGGCTCAGAAAAGTAAGGCTGCCAGGCGCGGTGGCTCACGCCTGTAATCCCAGCACTTTGGGAGGCCGAGGCGGTGGATCACGAGGTCAAGAGATCGAGACCATCCTGGTCAACACGGTGAAACCCCATCTCTACTAAAACTACAAAAAATCAGCTGGGCATGGTGGCGCGTGCCTGTAAACCCAGCTACTCAGGAGGCTGAGGCAGGAGAATTGCCTGAACCCAGGAGGCGGAGGTTGCGGTGAGCCGAGATCGCGCCATTGCACTCCAGCCTGGGTAACAAGAGCGAAACTCCGTCTCCAAAAAAAAAAAAAAAAAAAAAAAAGTAAGGCTTTCCACACTCGCCCACAGCCATGCTTCCGGCCCCACATCAACTCAGCACCTCCTAAGAAAGCGCTCAACACCAGCAGCCCAACCCACCTGCTTCCCCTGGAGCCACTTAAGTATGTATGTCAGCCAAGGACTGTCTGGCCGGGAAGCATTCTAAGCAGGAGAAAAGGGAAAATTATGAACAGTCATGGCCTTTAGTCTCCACAACTGTTTGTTCTGGTGAAGGACAGAACTTGTGCACCAGTATACTTATTTGAGGCCACACCAGGGACACACATGGCCTCAGTTGGCTGACAGATAGCACAGGTGCTAAGACCCACCTGGGCAGTCTCTCTGAGGCTTCCACCTGCTTCTGGGCTGATGTGGAGCACGAGCCACAGAGGCAAACGCTAAGATGTCACTGGCTCTGGCCCCAGACTCTTAGGTTTCCCCCTGCTCTGGGATCAGAGAACAGCTTCCATACCCGGGATCATGGCCTCCACTCTCCTTTCTACAGTCTCTGGACAAGTCAATGGCTCATGCCTCTAATCCCAGCACTTTGGGAGGCTGCTGCATGAGTGAGGGCTGGGCCCTGCTCCAAGAGGAGGACAAGCAGGGGCTATGGGAGGAGGGCATCACCTCCGCTCTGACCCCTACCATCAAGCTGGCTGCCTTTTTCCTGAGTCCATGGCCCTCAAAGAGTCCTTTCCCCTTGCAGTTAGGGTACCTGCTCCTGAGTTGGAACAACAAAGATGCCAATAGTGGGTATGGGGAGGGACCTCTTCCTTGAGCACCTCCTTACCAACTGGCCCTCCTCATTCCTCTACCCATGCTGGGCCAAAACCACTCCTTGGTAGTGGAGTCCGACTCCCCCTGGAGAGGGAGAGGCAGCAGAGCAGGAAGGGCCTTCCGCTCCTGCCGGATGACCCCCGGCACCAACCCTTTTCATTTGCTCTAGCTCTAATGACTGGCACAAGGGCCTGGCATGAACACTACCCAGGCCACTGCCAACAGTCTCACCTTGAGCCCAAGGGCGAAGGAAACAAAGAACAGTGCCAGCTCTCTGGCATAGGCTGCAGACAGAGGAGGAAGCTGCTTCTTTCTGGCAGCAAACACAGCTTACAGGGTGGCCCCAGACTTCCTCTGGCAGGCAGGGCTGCCTACTGGCAAGTGAGGCTGGGAGAGAAAGGCCCATTGGTGTCTCTTCTGAGTGGCATGTGGGATAGATTAAAGGGTTAGACTGCAAGCCCAGCAACCCGAGTTCTAGTTCTACCTTCTCTGCTGGCTTTAGAGAAATCACACCGTCATCACTTTCAGCATGAAGGGACTGAATGTCATGAACTCTAGGTCCCTTCCAGTTTCTAAAGTCCTAGATTCCTTTTCCTCTGCCTTTTCCCTCACATGGCCACATATGAAGCACAGAGCAGAAAATCTAGCATTTAAGCTTACCTCTTTTTTTTTTTTTTTTTAGAGACGAGGTCTTGCTATGCTGCCTAGGCTAGAGTGCAGTGGCTATTCACAGGTGCGATTCCACTACTGATCAGCACGGGGGTTTTGACCTGCTCCATTTCCGACCTGTACCAGTTCACCCCTCCTTAGGCAACCTGGTGGTCCCCCGCTCCTGGGAGGTCACCATACTGATGCCAAACTTAGTGCAGACACCCAATCGGCATAGTGTGCACTACAGCCCAGAACTCCTGGGCTCAAGCAATCCTCCCACCTCAGCCTCCTGAATAGCTGGGACTATAGGCACGTGCCACCACGCCTGGCTAAGCTGACCTCTTAACCCCTGGGTTCCTTATTTAACCCACGATGATTCTGGGGCAGGCAGGCTGGCAGAGAAGGTGGCCCCACCACAGCACTGCTAGGGAAAGGAAGGGAGGAAGCAGCCTGAGCTTTGCTACCATGACTCAGTTATTCCCTCAGCTCTGTTTCAAGATGTATTTTCAGACCCAGTGTTCCCATCTTCAAAGGCCTCCTTTCTGTACTTACGTGGGCCTGAATGAGAGCAGAGAAAAGGGCACAGAGGAAATTCTGGAAAACAGAGTTTTGGGTTTACTCAGGAGAGAGCAGCATGACAACAAGAACAGCACCCAGTGATGCTGCCCACGATGACCAGCATTTTGTCAAATTCAGTAGAATTAGACACTGTGTAGCAGCAAAGCCAGCTTCCCCTCCTCTGGTCAAAAACCCATCATTCTGGTGCCTGGGCTTTCAGACCAGACAGAATCTACCACCCTGGGACCCGGCAGAGGGCAGGTGAGGCGGCAAGCAACAGAAAAGGGAAGGGTGTAGGGGGAGAGAGCCTGAGAAGAGAAACAGAGGGAAGAGAATGGAGTTTTAAAAACATGCAGAGAATAAAGATAAAAATGAGAAAAGGTGTGACAACTTAAAGGTTAGTAAGGTTGTGTTCTGAAACTTGAAATGGATAACAAAATGAAATTGTGTGCCCTGCCTATCCCTGCCCAGAGCCACAGAGTGGAGGGGAAGGAGAGGAGGGAGACGGCACAACTTAAGGTCAAGAAGGGGCCGGACATGGTGGCTCATGCCTGTAATCCAAACACTTCGGAGGCCAAGGTGGGCGGATCACCTGAGGTTGGGAGTTCAAGACCAGCCTGACCAACATGGTGAAACCACATTTTTATTTAAAAAAATAAAATAAAATAAAAAAGATCATGAAGGATGCTGTTTGCTCACTTCGCAATCAGCCTGCACCAGCAATCTAGTGATGTGTGCTTTTAAGAATGTCCTAGCCGGGCGCAGTGGCTCAAGCCTGTAATCTTAGCACTTTGGGAGGCCGAGGTGGGTGGATCACAAGGTCAAGAGATCGAGACCATTCTGGTCAACATGGTAAAGCCCCGTCTCTACTAAAAATACAAAACATTAGCTGGGCATGGTGGCGCGTGCCTGTAGTCCCAGCTACTCAGGAGGCTGAGGCAGGAGAATTGCCTGAACCCAGGAGGCGGAGGTTGCAGCAAGCCAAGATCCCGCCATTGCACTCCAGCCTGGGAAACAAGAGTGAAAACGGTTTCACAAAAAAAAAAAAAAAAAAAAAAAAAGAATGTCCTAGATGGACAGGCACGGTGGCTCCTAGCACCTTGGGAGGCTGAGGCAGGCAGATCACGAGGTCGAGAGATTGAGACCATCCTGGCCAACATGGTGAAACCCCATCTCTACTAAAAATACAAAAATTAGCTGGGCGTGGTGGCATATGCTTGTAGACCCACCTACTCGGAGGCTGAGGCAGGAGAATCGCTTGAACCTGGGAGGCGGAGGTTGGAGTGAGCCGAGATCGTGCCATTGCACTCCAGCCTGGTGACAGGCTCCGTCTTGGGAAAAAAAAAAAAAATGTCCTAGAGTAGCCCTGGAAGTTCCGATTTAGAAGCCTGCTGCAACATGATCTCTTTTATCTCTACTCATCAAGGTTTCTGCTGATGCCAAGTGATTCCCAGGGTCTAGCCTCTTTTTTTTGAGACGGAGTCTCACTCTGTCACCCAGAGTGAAGTGAAGTGCAGTGCCGCGATCTCGGCTCACTGTAACCTCCACCTTTCGGGTTCAATTGATTCTCCTGCCTCAACCTCCCAAGTAGCTGGGACTACAGGGGCATGCCACCACCCCCAGCAAATTTTTTGTATTTTTAGTAGAGATGGGGTTTCACCGTGTTAGCCAGGATGGTCTTTATCTCCTAACCTCGTGATCAGCCCACCTTAGCCTTCCAAAGTGCTGGGATTACAGGCGTGAGCCACCGCACATAGCATTTTTTTTTTTTTAAGACGGAGTTTTGTTCTTGTTGCCCAGGCTGGAATGCAATGGCACAATCTCATTGCAAACTCCACCTTCTGGGTCCAAGTAATTCTCCTGCCTCAGTCTCCCAAGTAGCTGGGATTACAGTCATGCACCACAACACCCAGCTAATTTTGTATGTTGAGGTTTCATCATGTTGGTCAGGCTGGTCTTGAACCCCTGACCTCAGGTGATCCACAGCCCTTCCAAACTGCTGAGATTACAGGCGTGAGCCACCATGCCTGGCCTTTTTTTTTTTTTTTGGGGGAGAGTCTCGCCTCTTAGCCCCGGCTGGGGGGCAATGGGCGGGTCTTGGCTCACTGCAACTCCACCTCCTGGGTCCTGATTCAAGCAATCCTCCTGCCTCAGCCTCCCAAGGAGCTGGGACTACAGGAAAGGCCACCATACCCAGCTAATTTTTGTATTTTTAGTAGAGACAGGGTTTTACCATGTTGGCCAGGCTGGTCTTGAACTCCTGCCCTCCTGATTCACCCGCCTCAGCCTCCCAAAGTGCTGGGATTACAGGCGTGAGCTACTGCACCTGGACTTTTTTTTTTTAACTTCTTTCCACCCTAATTTCTGAGGCAGTTTGGAGGCTCAATGGCTATTACCATCTCATCCACACTGTACTCTCTGTCTCTGGAACCCTTGCACACAGGACTTGGCTCAGGGCCAGCAATAGGTCAACATGGGAAGGCAGGAAGAATAAAGAGATGAATGTGACTGAGCCTTCTGCTCCAAGCTGGCTGGGCCACATGGGAGCAGAGCTCTCTAGGCACCACACATCTACCAAGTCATGTCAGGCATGATGGAGAAGACTAACCTTGTGATGGGAGGACTGATCAGGGAAGGTGAGCCTGGAGGAGCACAGCCAGTGAAGCTGGCTGGACCAGGTCACCATCAAATATGCTATGCAACTGAGAGCCTGCCTCCACCTTGGCAGGGGTGGGAGAAGGATGAGCATGGGAGGCTATGAGTGGATCTAAAGAGGTCAGGGCTAGGCACAGTGGCTCATACCTCTAATTCCAGGACTTAGGGAGGCCGAGGCGGGAGGATCACTTGAGGCCAGGAGTTCAAGACCAGGTTAGGCAACATAGTAAGAACCTATCTCTACAACAAATCTAAAAAATTAGCTGGGCCGGCCTGGCGCAGTGGCTCACGCCTGTAATCCCAGCACTCTGGGAGGCCGAGGCGGGCGGATCACCTGAGGTCGGGAGTTCAAGAAAAATTAGCTGGGTGTGGTGGAGGCGGAGGCAGGAGGATGGCTTGGACCCAGGAGTTTAAGGGTACAATGATAATCACGCCACTGCACCCCAGCCTGGGCTCTACAACAAGACATTGTCTCTATTAAAAAATAAATAAATAAATACAAATAAAGAGGTCAGAATGTG